GAAAAAACTATCCAACACAGCCTTTTGGTTGAGAAAAGTGACTTTTCCAACAGAATCCGACTGTACGTTGCCTCTTTCAGAAGAAACAGTGTTCTAATGAACGAACAAGAAGGACAGTTGAACTGCATGTAGCAGCATTGGCTTCGACACATAATTATAGCTAAATGGCAGGACCATGTAAGGAATCAAGTGGGTCTGTTCTAGGCACAGATAACTTCAGTTGAAGTGGAGATTCAAAAAGGAGATTGACCACGTTAGACAAACTGGAGCATGATCGATCAACTCCAGCCAACCAGTTTCTCATTTGGGAGGCGAACACGGCAGAGGTCGACAAGGAGGCCCACATGCAAACGTGGATGAGCAGATCAGACGCAGGTATGGTTTCAGAGGTAACTGTTCCTTCTACGATGCAGTGACCAGACTCTAATGGAAAAAATATGAAAAGATAAGTATAAGGTGGATATCACAAATTGGAGATGTGAAGCATGAGGGTTAAAGTGGTGACCATTCAGATGCGCTAACGTCCTCTCGCATTTCAGAGCATCGACATACATAGTCAGCATCCTATCTACAGTGTCTTCCAGCACGATCGAAACTTCCTTATGTTTGCGCCATCAACGGTGGAAATTAATAATGGCTAAGGCACAAAGTCACGATGAATGCTTTACTTGTTGTTGCGTTATAAGTCTACTAAGTTTGAATTTAATATTGTATGATATGCGTTAGCAATAGCATTTCAGATTGATATTAAATAACGTCCTCTGCTGCGGCTAAAATCATGTTCATCGTCGCAAGTGAGTCTGCCTCAACAGGATGTTATCAGTCTTGATATGTTCTCCAATGCTTTTACGGTTGGTGGACGATTCATACATGATATACTTTTTGAAGTCATTTCTATTCTGTTTAGGATAACTTTAGAAAATCAGTTTAGCTCTCTACCTCTACGCTATGTTGACAAATTTCTCCGACCACTGATCGTCAACACTTGCTTCAAACTATCTTTCATGACTGCTGCACTTTTTCATCACTGTGTAGAGAGCTTTGCTGGACGCTATCTAGCTGAGCTATAAAAAGTTTCAAAACCACAAATATTACCAGCCTCTACACGTCACAAGAAATGTGTTTGATTTTAAGTTGGGATCATTGCAGCTGTTCCTAGACTCAATTTTTCATTATTTCATAGGGCTTGTCGAATCCTGGCGCTGTCAGAGCCGGCACAGTTATTCGTGGTAAACATCTTGTCATCGACCGCACAGATGATCTTCTGGGCAATGCGGCGATTGTCACCTACTCTACCAACCGATATGAAATCTAAGAGGCAAAGCCACGGTAGTCAAGTTATGTACTATATCTCTTTGAATGATCAGGTATAGGTTTTCACAATGCTTCAGAACCGATCGGTCCCGAATTTGAAATCAGAGTCAGAGTTACGCATTGTGCTGATTATTAAGCTGAACAGTCAGCTATGAATTGAGTCAAGGCAAAGTGCAGCCACAAGGGTTGCTCACATTGGACAGCATGGCAATATACCTAGTTAATTCTGGCATTTCAAGACCAGAATACCATGCTGTCCCTGTTATTCGCAAGTCAGGCTACAGACTTACTACGTGTTTCTTATCTGCGCGGCTTGAGGTCAATTCCTTCTTCAGGTGACTTCCCGGTTAAGACAGCAATTTTACCTTAGCACCTCCAGAGTTCAAAACCTATTTTTTGTATGGTGTCACCAGGCCATTCGGCCACTGGTCGAGTCACTCGCTTTTCTTCCTTCGAAGGTTGATGGTGAGTACCAGTTTGTGGGGTGGAAAAGGCAATCTATACGTTATACTGACCATATGGCTGCTTTCAGCTCTTCCTTTAAAACAATGACATGGAAATGGACATCAGCGCCTCAGTTTTGCCTTCATGAAAATGAGGACAGTAGAAATGACACATTCATGAAGAGAGCGTAAGGATGACAGACATTCCAGTGGTTTCAAGCATTTTTTTTCTTTTTCTTTACCCACAACGAACGTTGCAGGCTAACTGAATTAGACAATGAAGAGTCATAGATGAATGATGGTATACCGTACGCGAAGGCAACGTTGCTGGTCGTTTTCGGATTCGCAAGTCTTTACATAAAAGCATAAACGATAGACGGTACTATTCATCTTGTTCATGTAGACAATATATTTGTTCAACAGTTTTGACACCCTTTTCCAGCAGCAGTTTATATCTGCACAAAACATGGGGTACTAATAGAAGACACTCGCTTTGGCCAAAACTTTACGTAGTTGGCGAATGCATTTGATTGAAATCTCCAGATGCTTTTTCCACTCTATTCGACTGTAAACAGCACACAAATCGCGCACTACTTTTTATAAAGCAGTTATAAATTTTCATTGTCAGTCAAATGGCACATTTTGAGAACGTGCTTCAGGAAGTACGAATTTCGACTGGCATTACGATTAATCTTCATCTTCCATCGC